TAAGGGTAGGAACTCAAAATAATGAAATAACATTCTTCACTGAAACAATCCCATTTCGGGAATTTTGGATGGGTGAAGAAATAAATGACATGAGCTTCCATCATAATTTTCTGATCATTGCGAAATGCAATGTACTAGTATATTCAGTCACGATAGAAAAAAATCTCAGTATTTGATAGTCTACTTCGACTTGAGTTAACTTTGAACTGTAACAGATTTGCACAATATTTTCTGTTCCAAGGAAAAGATGGTAGAAATAAAAGTCATCTCAAGAAATTTCATTTAATAACGTTACACGATCAGGGGCATATTCGGTCTTATAGAAACTACCATCATCTTCAGTCTAATGAAAATTCCACGATACGAAAATAGGATATTCTTATTATATAGATGGTACAATGTCTGCGAGCTCAAAATTCATTCATTTTTCAATTCTCCAGCCAATGAATTGTGTTATGGAAATTGTTTAGGTACCTTCTCCACTTATTTATTTCATCGAGTTACGCCACTGTGGCTATAAAAATCCCGAATCGGAATGCTATTGAAAATTGGAATATTCGCTAATGAGAATGTCCAATGTAGACAATGAAGCAGGGTAATACATCCAGATTATTTTCTTTTCGCATCTATTCCTCGATTTGAATGCACCTGCGAATCAATTTGAGAATGTCTCAGATGATATTCGATTTGAAATTCAAATGAACTGGATTTGTCGATCCGCTGAGGCAGAATTATACTCCAGCAAATCTTGTTGAAACTATCAAAACGGATAACTGAATTTTTCGCAGATTACTTTTATTGAATGCATTGAATTCGAATATGCAAATGACCAAGATTCAGCTCCACTTTTTCTACTGCAACGACGAAATGAATATCAAAAATCCATTAATAAGGGTGTAAGAACATATGAAGCAAAACTCAAATGGCGGACCTGCATATGAGTGTTCCTTTTTGAATCAAATCCTTTACTCGTCTCGAACAAAGATTGTATGTTACATGAAGTCGGCCCATGTTCTTTGCTGAAGCTGCTTCATTCGACATTAGGAAAACCATGCCCAGTTGCCCATGCCATCGTCCACCAATTCCATGCAATCCCCCAAGAAGAGAATAGCGGTTGATTCTGGCCCGAAACAATCACGAATTCAAACTCATTAGAATTAAACACAGGAATAGTAACTATTTCTCGCAATGCTAAATCTCTATGATTCCTATTTTCAAAAAACCAACAAGCTCAAAAGTCACGTAAACACCACTAGAAATCAGATGCTAGACGTCAGTCCCTGCGGATTGTTTTGCATTTCAAACTTTTTCACCCCCCAAACAACCCAGCGAGCACAAACATCCCTGGGATTGGGTTGTTTTGAAAATGTTGGCATGAAGATGTTATTTTGAGACGTAATATGCACTGACCAAAGAGGTCTTTGAGGGATATTGAAGTATTGTTTTTGTTCTTCTGTGGCATTTCTTTGTTTGCCTACTGAGAGGTTTCCCTGGGATGTTTTGCGATGTTTTAGAAATTTAGGCATGAGGATGTTTTTTTGAGGCGTAATATGCACTTCCCAAAGAGGTCTGAAAGTATTGTTTTTGTTCTTCTGTGCCCTTTTTTTGTTTGCCCCGCCACAACGTCTCATGCTCAGGTCACAATACGATGAATTCGGATTTGTTTTCGATTTTGTCCTTCTTGTTCGCAATTGGCATTCGCGTTTGCAGCGTGTCACGCTTACATCACGCTGCTAACGAACAGAAAGGAATTTGGTGAAGTTTATTGTGTTAGAAGACTTATTTAGTTTGTAATAATGACCATCAGATGCAAGATGTGTTGTTCGGTGCATCAATGTAATCAATATATGAAAGTACGAATTCATCAATACACAGTTTTTCTGCAGTTGCAAAATTATGCATTGTGGAGAACATTACAAAAATTGGGAAACCTATCTCCCATTATATGTCTGTGTGTAGTAAGCACTACTCATTTTTTCATTCAAGGGAAATGGAATCCTAATGCAAAAGTTCATTTTGACAGAAGGCTTCAGAAAAGTACCTCGAAAATGGTTTTTTTACAGCGATTTAATGTGCGCAAGACGCGTTGAGAATGTTCTGTTGTGTCCATGAAAAGGCTCCAAGAAGAACTAGGGAGAAGGAAGTTTTGTGACATATCCAGGACATCTCGATAATTGCCGCCTGCGGCGGACATTGGCTGTTCTATAATAGTTCTATTCATGTGTGAACAGAACATCGCAGTGGAGGTTCAATGTCTCGAAATCTCGTACTTTTAACATCTCTGAGATGTTTTTGTGCTCGCTGGGAACCGACTCTTAAAGTCACAAGCCCCATGTGGACTTTTTGAATATGAGGAGGAGTGGTAGGCGGTTAAGGCTGTTCCTAGTCACTTTCAGTGATTAGTAATGTCCCGTACCGGGGTCTCATATCGATTGGGCTGCCCATGCAATAATTCGGCTACCAAATGAGGGCGATAAATGAAATGAGTGATAGAAGTCAAAAAAACAATACGCAAAAAAATAGTTTGGATAGTATTGACCTTTGAAGTTTGCCTGAAGTATTTGTTAATAATGAATCAAAGTTTGGAATTTTTTTTTCATTAATTGTGTCTACATGTCTATTACATCACGCTGTTCAAATATCAAATAACTATAGATAAACTTATTATACATCTGATTCAGTAAATTGATAAGATTTTTAGGTTTCGAGTGAATATCAAGTGATTTATGTATGTCGTATATTCATTGATCAATAAAACAACCTCCAGAATTTCAGTTATGAAGATTGTGAGATCTCACAAATATACTATCATACAGGGTTCTCAAACTTGAAGGCACTATTGCTTACTTGGTTGTTATTGGAGCTACAAGGACAATTAAATGGGCAAACGTGGTATTTTTCTTGCTGAATACGATAATGAAATCGAGAGAAATATCGAATATCTCGTTCACGAGTTGTGGAAAGAGGTTACATTTTTTCGAATGGGACTCCGAGTGTACAATATCCTTAATCGATAGGAAATTCGATTCTGAACAAAAACTGTCCTTAATATGTAATCCCGAATTCAAAAATGACTAATCTTTCGACATTTCTACAAATTGGTCAGAGTGATTGAATGTTGTCGAAGATGGTCGAGGTATTACTTGTAGTAACTTTGCCTTACCATAAAGTGAAAAGAAATCGTTGATAGTCTAAGTGAAAAGAAATCGTTGATAGTATAGTCATTTTTGAATCTAGGATGAAAGTTCATGGGACAATTCTCGTTCAGAATCAAATTTCCCATCGACTAAGAATATTGTTAATTGGGTGTCCCATTTAAAATAAAATTGAAGTTTTGGAACTCGTGAACGCGATGTTCCCAGCAAACATCAAATCTCTAGCCGCCTTCTGGCCCAGTACTGGCCATGACCAAGGTGCACTGGAAAACGTGGGCCCATTTTATGGCATATTGTGAACATTTGCCTATAATTCAGCCAGCATTAAGCCATAAGTGTCAATTCGTATTATGTTTTTAACCACGTCATACAATCTTCTTCCCATTGTATGGCATATTGAAATCTTTCAACTATAATCCAGCCGGTGCCGTGCGGAATAGAGTATGATTATATTCGAATTCACATAGGAAATTTAATTTCCAACTAGTTATCAAATTATCGAGAGGTTGCTAGGTTCGAATCCCCGGAACAAAAAAGAATTTTTATATATAAAACGAGTTTTGAGTTTCGTATAGCGTTGGACGGAGATGATTCCGCACAATTCGCTGTTGCGTTCCAATCAACAGTGCTGCCCCTAAGGAGGCGTATGGAGTTAGTGAAACAGCCTACTCAGAACAATAATGAGCGAGAAACAGAAAACTAATGTTTATTCATTGCATTTGAATAGGGTAAGTAGATAAGTATATGTACTTTGTTGGTATGTATGTATATACATACCAACTGGCCAAACATCTTCCGAGAGGTCCTTCAACTCATGTGTGTTCTGTGTAGGCTCCATCACTAACTCCATACGCCACCTTAGAGGCACTGTGATTTGGAACGCATCAGCGTATCGTGCAGAATCATTTCCGGCCAAGTCTACAAATATGAGAATTCATAACTTGTTTTATAAATGAAGATTCTCTAATAGAAATCTAACCTAGCAACCTTTCGGCGTTCTAATTGCTAGTCGAGCCCTCAACCACTGCGCTATTTTGCCGTTTCACATTCGAATATTAACATGAAAGTTATCAAATTCGGACATAAGAAAATAGTCAAGTCGTCTGTTTCATAAAATAGGTATAACAGAAATTTGGTAGTCAATCGGAGGATCCGACGTGTTAATATTATAATATTACAATTCCAAAATTATCCGTGGATGTTTGTTACCAAGTGATAGCGGAGGACCAGGGTTCGAATCCCGTGGCGGTCGTCTTTTTTTTATTGAATGTATCGACCCTGTATGTTCACGGCATTTTGCCGTTCTGGCCAATTCTGGCCAACATATTATAGGCCAGTCTAATGCCGACCAAAATTGTTTGCTGGGATTGTTTCGTTTTCATCATCATTATCAGCACAAAAAAGTACTGGTTTGTCCATTCAACTGACTTTGAAGCCATATAGTTTTTTACCTATTCTGAGACCTATTCTCACTATTCCGGATGACCTCAGCTGGTCACCTAGGTCAGGTCCTATAAGTATTCAAAAAATGTCAGGTATATTTATTTTTCATTTGATCGCTGGTGCAGTCGCGTAAAAATTGAACGCGAACGCAAATGGTCCACAGTCCATCATTATTCGACATGGGCTCCGTAATAGAGATTGAAAATAACGGAAGAGACAGGAATTCCGTTAATTAACCCCCGATTGGGGTTGAAACTCTTTATGATCTCGTCACATCGAGCTGAATATATGCCGCACACGCCGGGGATCTAATCAACGTCAAAACAGTGGTGGGCGAGTGTCAAAAATATAAAGATTAAAAACGATGTGTAAATAATTTAGGGGTCTTTTTACTTTTTCCAGTGTTGCGATCGTTCGATGGAGAAATGCTGACGTTAATGAATGTTCAGCGCATTGATATGGGCGCCTATTTATGCATAGCAAGCAACGGCGTACCCCCATCTGTGAGCAAACGTTTCAACGTCATAGTTCACTGTAAGTAAATTATTGTTTTTCAAATTCATTCTTCTTTTTCCACATCATTATTGATTCAACTCCACTTCAATTTTTCTTTGCCTATAAGGCAAGAGTATAATCGAACACCAAAGAATAAAAACATGTTTCTAAGCTAACAAGTATTAGTTCTGAAAATTCTCGAGCATGATGGTAAATGCCTTATCACATTTTGTGTACCTATGTATAAGTTGGGTGTAGCAATAATAAGGAACATTACTAGCAAACTTCGAACATGGAATATAAATATGCAATATATGTTTCTCTCGGAATGTGAACACTCTTTGGAATTTGTAAAAATATCTCTCAGTGCTCAGAATGCAATTATTTTAGTATATTTGGAAATATTGAGAGATAGAAAAATTTTGTTGTATCTTGAAACAAAATTATCATCTTCTATGGATTACCTGAATATGCAGAGGTAGTTCCTCAGTGTCACATAATCGATGGTTCTTCTTTAATTCCCTGATTATGGTTTTGAACTATATTGTACACACTTTTTACCACAACAATCTATTGAACTCAGAGTCGGACGGACAAACTTCGTTTCCATAATTCTTACATATTCCATTTCAGTATTGAATATTCCTATGGACGTATTATGCATCCTTCGAGATCATGATTTCCGTGAATCAATCAATATCGGAAAATTTTCAGGTGATAGTTGAAATAATACTCGAGATAAATGTATCTGGAAGAGTTTGCCAGTCTTACCTAACTTGACCTACCCTGTACAGTTGCTGAATTTACTGTCCCAATAATGTTTTCTCTGGAATCATTAGACTTTTCCCTTTGGATTCTGATTTGTTTCTCAGAATTCAGATCAGTACAGAAATATCAATGCAATCGACGAATAATCATTCGCAACAACTTTTTGATATTCCATCCAAGCCACATTGTCAAGAAAAAATGACAGTTATCACACAAAACGCGTTCCTGCGTTGCACCTTGTATAGGAAACGAAGCGTCTTCTGTCATTTTTATGCATAGAAATAGGCACTGATCATTTTCCGCCGTGTATTTTTGGAACTTCCTGTAAACACTTATCAGAGAAAAGACTGAACTCAGAGAAAGAAGGCCGAATGAAGAGAAAAAAATCTGAATTCAGGGAATTGAATCTGAATCCAGATAAAAAAGTGAAGAGTTAATATAAAATACACACAACAGTAGTTTTGACTTTGTTTGGAAATGATTGCATTTCTATATCTTTCATGATCTTTCATAACACACATTTCGTGGACTTTTCCAGTTCATCCATTGATCAGAGTATCGAATCAGCTGGTAGCTGCGCCGATTACCAGCGATGTACACGTGCAATGCTACGTGGAGGCATCTCCGAAAGCCATGAACCACTGGATGCGGGAGAACGGTAAGCACTTTTCCCTAGAGGGTGGCTTAAAACCAACCTATAATAAAGGTCATATATTATTATACTGTATACTCGCTGGCCGGCGTATTGTGGTGACCGGCACCTACATTTCAAATTACTCTGATCAGAGACGGGTCTTGAAGGGGATAGGGAATCAGATCGAAAATTATTCAAGGACAACCTTGCATTTCAAAGAGAATCATGATTTTTTTGTTTCTCGCAATCAAAGCTTCCTACGACCTATGGATTCTTCAAAATTTATTTGAGACGCCCTATTGCCTCTTGAAGTGTGTCCCATATATTATGAAACACCCTACCCTGTATACTAACGAAAATGGAGAATTGAAATTACCTATGAACAGACTAGCCAATCAAGCATTTCGGAAAAGATATATAATAATCTACTGAAATTGTGTGACTGAGACAATTTCAACAGCATGAAATTGTTGAGATCTATAGTTTCTCATCGTTAAATGAAATATTATAATTTCTGCGTTCCTTTTCATGTAAGTATAGTTATAGCGTACGATGAATTCGTTGTTTTTTACTTAAAAAAAACTCATCAGATGTTTGGAATGAGGTGGTTGAAAGCTTTCTCTTCCTGATCACTATATACTTTGGGAAACATTCTCTGTTTCCTCTGTGTACTCCTGATTCTCCTCAATGCAAATTTTTTCCACATAATGTTTGATGAACCTTCTCAACGTCATATTATTCATTCTGAAATGAAATGGAGCTACCGTTTCTGTTAATAATCCGAAATAGATCGAAATTCTATGATAATTGTGATTATTGTTCCATCATGAAGTACCTCAGAAAAATTAATAATCATCATTATAATAGAAGGCAAATCTTGGAAGTGATGCTGAATTATTTTGTCACTGAATCGTTGGAAACAAATTATCCATGTGTCGAATTTCTAGTTTCACTACTTTCAAGTTGATCCTCACCGAATTTTGATGTGGGTTATTGTGAATATACTTTCTGGAAAGAAGGATCATATGAAGGATCAGCTAGCCTCCTCTCAGATATTCCCTAGTCCTTTAGGTTCGTAAAAACGGTCAGATGCAATGAACATGTCGCACATGGACGATGATACCACCTCTAGTCACTTCTGCACCATCCAACCGCGAAATTTGTTCTTTGCATCTGACTGTACATATAGGTTGAGCCAGACAATGTTGAGACTGCCATCGAAGGAGCTACTGTGTGAGCAAAACATGTCGTTTTGTGGAATCTTTATCGTTTGTGAATTTTCTACAAAGATAAAATCATGCTCCTCTTCTATATGGAGTAAAACTCTTCGAAAGTTGATTTTGGTTAGTATAACCCTCCAAATCTGTACCTTTTCGTGTTCTTTCACTTATTATTTCGGGTTCATTTTCAGAATAGCGTATGTGAAAAGAATACAAGAAAATAAAGGCTCCACGAAGGCAAACCATTGACTATTGCTACCCAGTCATATAGGCTGAAAACAGCCTTACTGTTTTTATAGGAATGACACATTTTTTTCCTTCTAGCTATCAGAAATCGAGGTCCCTTCAAAAATGTGATTTGTCTAGTGATTAACCTTCTTGTAAATTGGTCGGAATCGCAGACTTTGAAATCTTATGCGTTTTTAATAAAAGCTCTTATCCTCCCTCTGAAACGTATTTATCTTCTTTATTTTCATGGGAATATTACAACTGTTTTATTTCAGCTGTGAACAATGAACATAGCACCAAAAAAGCGCAATCTTTCTCTATACAGACCTCCGATTTCAATAGGGAACTCCCTTCGTTTCTTCAAGAATGGTGAACTGAACTTCATGGTAGAAGTTGGATAATATGACAGCAAATCATCCTCTTTTTTCACCTGCAACGTTATTTGATTGACATCGAATTATTATAGGGAATTACAGAATTCCAATTCAACGTGCCACAATATTTCAGAAGTAAAAAATCTGAGCATACTAATAATAAAAATTCGCGTCATTCAGTCGGAAGTGACTTTTTTTATTTCATATAGCATGTATATAGCTGTATATCTCTGCTATTCGTCATGCGACTCTTACCAAATTTAGACTGGTATGAATGATGATGATAATTATAATAAAAATGATGATAATAATAATGATAAACGTCTCTATTTGATTCAATGTTCATAGAAACATATGGGAGAGCGGAGTTTAGCCATCATAGCTACTCTTCCACCTAACCCTGCACATTGATAATACAAAATGCAGACAACTTGCAATTAATCTATAATATATTGTAATTGAATACTATTTGGAAAAGCATTTTGATCCAACAAACAATAAACGTTATTTGAGACGGTTTTTGAAAAATAACAAATAACATCAATTCTGATAGAGTAGTCAAGTGAATTGTACAATTACGATGATCAAAAATAAGACAATGATATTTCTACAAAAACCCAATATTGAGCCATCTGAGTGCACGATAACATTGACAGATAATAATATGAACAAATTCTCTGAGACCATAGATGAAGCAACAACAAGTATTGTGTATTCTCTGCAATCTTGTCTCAGTTACATGTCTAGATAAGGATACAAAATTATAAGACAATACTGAAGTATTGGTAAGACGATGGTTCCACACAGTTTCTTTCTTATGGATGAATAAAATAATTTTATTTTCAAATAAGAGTTTTTGCGACAGATATGATTTTTCGAATCGTCTGAGTACCTTTGTTACTGTATTTTGTGATATTTGTGTGTATTCTTGAATTGGGAATTAGGAATATGATTATATTCTGTTGAGAATGTTCCCTTCGTTTGCTTCTTTTTTGTTGAAAATAGAGGTTACTGCTCTGTTGTCTGAAAGTACATACTTTTTTAACGTCATAAGTCTATTCCATTATCTTCTCTTGAAATTCGTATAACATAAAAATGGTTTTAAAATGTTGACAAGATATTTACTGATGAGATAAAAATTGAACTGGCAACCCTGGTCCGCACGGAGAGTGAGTTGACAACAACTGTAATTTTCTGTTGTTAAATTAATCATTCACGAAATCCGACAGATTTCACGTGTGAATAGGACCGTGATGTTGATATAAGTGAATTTTTTATTATTATCGATAAAGCATTTTGCCCTTTTTTATCAAACTCGGTACTTCATCACTCCTTCCATTCCGAGCTAATAATTCAATTTGACATAATCAAATCAAGGGCAAGTTTTTGGACTTCAGCACCCTGTATAGTTCTTATTATACAGGGTGGTCCTCAAGTTATGAGTATTGTATGTTTTTCACTTCAAAACATCTCGATTTGAACCCACTTGCCAAATATTGCTAATAAGAGAGATATACACTACATGGTGTCAAAGTTGAAATAACGTGTCTTCCATATTCCTCGACGAAAACAGCCTCAACTTGAAGAAAAACAGAATCAATGCGCATTTATTCCATACTAAAGGAATTTTGTGGCGCCCTCTGAGAAATACATCGAGCTAGATAGTCAATACATCGGAGTACATAAGATTGAAGAACTACTTATGATGAGTAGGAATCAAGTCAGAACAATAACAGGACTTCTCACTGGTTAGCCCAATGAGAAGACGTCTGAACAAACTGGAGTTGAACAATGGAGAACTTTTTCGCAGACAATGCGAAAAGACCATAGAAACAACCAAACACTTATTGATAGAATATGGGGAACTGGATCGCAAAAGACAGCAAATTTTTGGGCAGGCCAGGGTAACTCAGGAAGAATATAACAGCCAACCGGTGAAGATTCTGTAAAGACTGGTATAAGGGATAAGCGCTATACGGATCGGGTGCTGTATAACCAATTTGGAATGCGCATAAAGCCCAGGCGGCTGAGGTGTAGCTTGTGACAGGACAAGCATATCCAAGGAAAAAAAAAGAATTGTGAAATATAAATTATACAATAATTTCACCTTCGACGACCTGAATCTTTTCTGTATCACCGGCCCTTATTAGCAACATTTTATCAAGGCAAGATGGCTCGAATCGTATCATATTGGAGTTGAAGATCTACTATTCTCCTATGAACACTTACTCAAAGATTGGATTACAGGACTCTCAGCTCACGATAACTAGTGGTGCCCGCGAGAGTCTCGCATGGTCTCGTCTCGGTTTCGAGACAAGACTCGAGACGAGACTCGGACAAGACGAGACGAGACTTTGATTAGTCTCGTCTCGAGTCTCGTGCAAGACTTCTCGTGTTTTATGCGATAGTCTCGCAGGTAAATATTTCTAGGTGGCAACTGCAAACTTGGGAATTTCATTCATAATACAACATATTCAGAAAGAATTCAGACTATTCAGCACAGATGGACAAAACATTTCATTCATTAATACTTCAAAAACACAATCAATTATTGTTGTAAAACGACGTGATGCGTGAAACGAAGACGGACTATTTCCTCTCTTACGGCGGAATAATGTTGGATTGAAGTTTTTGTTTTGTTTATTTGTTTAGAATATACGTGTTACTTTTTATTTCATTTTTATTACTTTCTAATATATATTGTTTTGTTTTTTTCCTTGTTTAGATATATGATGTAAGTATGTACCTATTATGTACTTACTTTTCAATAGATAATGTTGTTTTTGTTGTAATTTTCTCTTTCTACTACTACATTATACCTAAAATGTAGGTAATGGTAAATATCCCGTACTAGACTGGAACAAGATTATGCATGACGAAATTGCGATATATTTGCGAGACTGTCGTACGAGACGCGAGACAAGACGAGACTCGGGGCTGCTAGACGAGACTCGAGACAAGACTGCATATTCCATCGGCGAGACGAAACGAGACTTTATGAAAGTATAGTCTCGTTGGTCTCGTGTGAATCACTAACGATAACGACCAATAGTCCCGCCCATCAGAAACCACTCTGTTATGTCATGTATTTGTTGAATGTGTTTTTCTCTTTGAACAAGTTCCAAGTTTCCTATACTTATTTGAGGTTTTTTCCAGGCGAAAAGTTGATTCCCAGTGACAAATATATCATGGAAGAATCGATAAACAACGAGTACTCGCTTCAAATGAACTTGACCATCCTGAATCTGGACAAGACAGACTTCGGCGGGTACATCTGCACATCTTCGAATGCTCTGGGGAAGGCAGAGGGAGTGGTCAGACTTTTGGGTAAGGCCTTTGATTTTTTTATCATCTTGAAAACCAATTTGTCCTCAATGTGTCGCTCCCGTTACCAAATGACGTAACTAAAATAATAAGTGCGGAATTCAGTTTAGTCCCCAATCTGACTTCCTTCAGTGGCCACGTTTATACCGTATGGATATTCAATATGCTTACCAAGGTGATCTGACCAAATTCAGAACAAACACTTTAGTTGACGCATGTTTACACCATGCATGAATTCTTGTTTTGGCGACCCCTACATGGAGGTGGTGTGAATTCAATTCGCCGCATACTGTATATGACAGTGGCGGCTCGTGACTTCCATGACAGAGGAGGCTGAATGATATGAGATTTATTGTGAAAAACAACTCTCTACGACTCACCCAAATCAATAGCTTTAATGACATTCTGTTTACCAGTTAATCTGAACTTAATACTTGAAGATATGTGTTCTGTGATTTGCAGTGTCTATCCAATCCGCGAGGCAAATTTTTCAAATCATTATATCCTAATCGCCCCCAACATGATGACTTATCGGTTGAAAATAATACGCAGTACGAAAAAAATAGCTTATTCCTTACCTCAGATCCCGTCAACCAGATATATTTTTTATAATTATCAGAATTGAACGAACGATTTTGTTTGTTAACTGTTACAATCAGATTTTTTAATTCCGGTGTCGGACGTTTGTTTTTCACGATCAATTTATCTCCATATTAGACAAAGCACTGAATGGGTTCACCAAAAAGTATTTCACTAAATCGCAATCGTTTAAAACACTCATATTTCAGAAATTTATTGGGCTCCTATCCATTAACCTAACATAAAAATAAACATAAACAATGCACGTGTTATTCGGGCGTATTCGGGCATTTGCATTGCGCGCTAGGGGTGCGCTATGTGAAGGAGTCTAGCCTCCTATAGATGGTGCCATGTTCAATATTTTCAGCGTGATTTGCAGATTTCAACGTGTGATGCGTGGGCAAGCACTGTGGCCAATTCAAAAATATTTACCTAAAGACAGGAAATAAAATCAAAATCCATGTATTTCGGTGTCCTTTTAATGAGAAAGTATAGATAATATTAGTTTAAGGAGAATCTCTGAGGAGGCTCAGCCTCCGTTGCCTCCCCTGAGGAGCCGCCACTGGTATATGGGCATATTTCATAGAGGCAGGTGAAAATTCTGCCTCCTGAGTACAATAGTTACATTGATGTTATAACATTGTGATGAAGTGAAGAATATATATAAACATGAATGAGCCTTCGAAACAAAATTGATATAAATGATCATTGAGAAACATTTCGAAAATTCTAATAACATAAAATTATATGTTGGTACTGGCTTATCACCAAGAGCCAGTGATTCCATGCGAGTTTTCTCTTTCTCATTGGAATCAACATCGATTTACAGTCTTAAGAGCATGTCTCCGCGGTCTTGACGAAATAATTTCAGATACCATTCCTGCCGAACTCATATTTTCCAGGAATTTTCAATAAAATACGTGAATGTGGGGATGCTTTTTAGACTCTAATAAAATTTATCTATCGGTTTCTCTGTAACCCGCAAAAAGTCTGAGTTGTTTGCTCTATATTGAAATCCCTGTGAGCCAGGGTTTAAGTACACATATCTAAAATATGAGATTCACGGAGTCCATAACCCCTATTGACTTATTGGAGAGGTCCATAAGATTAAATTTTATGTTTATCACGAGAAAATCTTTGAAGGATAAAAGAGGTTCCCCCTCGAACTAATATAAGGATTAAGGAAACTATATTGAATGGAGCGAGCAGCGCACATATTTGGACTCGATGATATCATTTTCACGTTCATCATGCAGATATCTTCCCTCTTGTCTGATTTTCTTTTGTAGTCGGATTGACGTTCACAATACGAGCTTATTGTTAATATACTAGGTTCCACTTGAACTGATGAAGGCAAAAGAGTTCAACTTCAGAATACTACACGATCATTTCTTTGATCTATTCTATATACTAATGAACAATGGAACATTTTGCAAAAATTACAATATTATTCTCATGTGTGATCCGGAAGCCATTTACCAACCTTCATCACTTGTTCCAACATATAATCTCCAGAAATTCAAAAAAAATTCCAATACCTACCTCCTGTCCCAATCCTCCCTAGGAACGCACGATGTTCTTTAAACATCATAGGAATTTCATTTCGTGCGCTCCAAGCGATAAAAAAAATGTTTATTTATGGCTTTGAACCGACCTGATATCAAATTTGAAATATTCCATCAGATTACCAAGGAAGAGATTAGTTCTGCGTCCCCAGATAACCATAATGTAGGTTCTTTCAAAAATGCCATATAATACACTCATCACCAGCACAAAAAAGCGGCCACCAAATAATTTTGCTTCTTCTTCAATTCTTGTCCGATTTTAGTGACATTTTGACCAAATCGTATATTGATGTTCCGGAGCCTGAATCTCAGATCCTTAGAAGAGCTGATGGCTTGATCATTATACAGGAAAAAACAAAGGTTAATCTATCACCCTGAACTTCTCAACGCCCTGCGGAAAAGGTAAGTGGTTGAACTCAGCTCCATTATGATTTGGATTGAAGTTCGATCCCCCTTTAACACAATAATTCTCGATTCACGTCGATATACACTTTTTAAGAGAAGATACGGGGGTTTTTGAAAAGTATGGAATTTTTTAATTCCCATTAGGAATAATTCAGAACCATCCTCCAACCTTCTGCTTCATCATGTTTCGAATTGAGATGTTATACTTCTTCGTGTCTTTTCAACACAATGGTTCCAGATTCACGTCAATATCTTCTTCTCGAGAGAAGATACAAGTGTTTTAATGAAGTAAGGAATTTTTTATATTTATTAACGATAATTCAGGACCTATAGAGCATCTTAGAGCTGAAGAACTGAGGTTCATTCGCCTTCGTCTGGCCTAGTCAAGAGCTACGATTCGCCCTTCACGGAGAATTTCAACCAATTCTCCAGGACTATAATTTGAGAAATTCGATCAACTGATGCCACGGCGGTTGAATGCTGTAATTCAAACTCGAGGAGGGCATATAATCTTTATTGACTACAGGTCTGCTTTTTGTTTGTTTTTTGTAATCAAGGTTTTCTCCCGCAAGTGCTAAGAAAATGGGATAGGAATAGGTGATATCAATTCTCCAAGTTGTAAATCAATGAGTTCATGTAGGTTCTGAATTATTGTTGAAAAAAACTGAAAATTCCTCACTTTCTTAAAACACTCGTATCTTCTCTTGAAAAGTGGTTTTCGACGTGAATCAAAAACCACTGTGTTGAAACGGGATCAACTGGTACTGGTACTGGTGAAGGACCTTTGCTTGTCAACAACTAGTCCCTAATGGGACCTTTTTGCAAGCCCCAAGGTGTTTTTGATGAGTGATGTGGTTCGCTTTCAGGTACCGTCCGTCAGCTCTCTTTCAGAGTTTTTCGGCTGTGTTTTGTAGAGTACTCACTACTATTTGCTGCAGTGGCAGGCCTGCCAGCTACTTCGTTAACTTCCGTTAGAGACTGAGGTCCACTAAGCAGCATTGGCCCGCTCTCACGCTCAGCTGGTAGTTTTCCACAACCACCTACATACACCGTCCTACTTCTTCTCTGATGCTCACAACCACATCATCATCTCTTTCTGCGTGTTTTGTGTAGGCTTTCTTACTTACTCCACGCGCCACTTTAGGAGCAGCACTGGTAATTGGAACGCAACAGCGAATCGTGCAGGACTATCCCTAGCCGATGCTCCGAAACTCTACAATATTCAATTCGTAAATAAAATATTGAAAGGTACTCGATCAGTCTGGCTGGGAATCGAACACACGACCTCGCGGTCGTGAGATGGACGCCTTTCCACTGCGCCAATTCCGACTCTAAATAAACCCAAAGCATAATGACGTGGAGTTAACCACTCATCTTTGCCACAAGGCGTTAAGTAGTTTAGGGTGAAAGAGTAACTTTTGTTATTCCCTGTATAATGATCAAGCCATCAGCATTTCTAAGGATCTGAGATACAGGCTAACATTCCGGAACATGAATATACGATTTGGTCGAAATTTCACTTTTTTGGTGGCCAGTTTTTATTTTGCCGGTGAGTGTATGTTAGATTCTCATAACGGTATTTCTCACTATTATATGCAGCATTCCAAACAATAGACTGTATTAACTGACTGTTTCGGAATTCATCGATCTAACTCACGAATTTCAGAAGTTAGGCGAATTATCTTGAACACGGTGCATTCTTAGTTGGAATTCTGAAAGTTATGAGAGTTTGATACAACAGAAAACATATTTATACATTTTTCATCCGTGAAGTTGCAAGGTGATTCTTCGAACAGACAGATGATGATTCCATACTGTTTAATTCCTCAAGTTTGGAAAAAATCTTCTGATGTGAACGACAGGTGTTTTTTATTACGAAATTAAACTACATCTCTGAGTTATCATGTCAAAGGATAGTTGAAATTGTGATTAAAAACATGCTTCTCGAAAATTGTTGTAGGCTGAATTGGTTTTTAAATTATAGCGTTTTTCTTAAACACTAGTATTTTGAATGCTTCTTTGGTAGTTGATTCAGCAAGTAATTGAATTGCAAGTAATCTGTCACCCACAATATTCAATATTCCAATTACAGTTTGTTATTTGGGAAACAGGTGATAGAATGATAGACATTGTGTTCCACGATGATTAGTCAGGTTATATCTCGGAACCTGAGATTAATACAGACTTGTTATTCTGAAGTTGTGAATTCAATCAATTTATTCGTGTGTATAGCAGAATTCTCAATAGGACGACCTTCATATCTATCATGTCATTATTCATTCCTATGAAACAATGTTAACAAAGTATCACTTTTCGACTAAAACAATTAATTTGATGACTGCGCAGGTACTTCGATATCCCTTGTCCGAGAGTTTTTTGACAACGTTGCTCAATAAAATATAAATGATTATTGTTATATTCATCACAACAAATAAAGCCGAATATACAGAGTGA